AAGTTAGTGTATAGGTAGTCAAGTAGATCAAAATGTAGTCCACCAAGTGTTCATCTTGAAATATTAATAACAATACAAAAGTTATTCTTTAACCACAGCTTGAAGGGGAATTATATTAAATGGCCTTGTTTTACTTGCTGAAAAAGTATCAGTCGAATGACAGAAGTAGTAGACTTTGTACAACAGGTTTTTCAGCAAAGTTTTGAACATGTTGATTATTTAGGAATGTGCATCAAATATGATACCGTATGCGTTATATATTTAACCTTTTAGCCATAGGCTGAAATCCCGGGGGGGTCGGGGGGACAGGACCCCCCCTCTGAGGGTTGTCCCCCCTAAAAATATGATTAAAAACCACGCTGTGCATTGTAAATAACGTTGTAAATAATACAATTATGTTTTATACTTTAAATAATTGTGCAAGTAGTAAAACAACACAAACTAGGCAAAAATGTGTTTTAAGTTTAGAAACATTTTGAGTCTCCCCCTCCCTTGCCTCACAGTGCTTTGGTCCAAATGCCTGCTTTCTTCTTTTACATCACCTACACACACACACAAGTCCAGTGGGAGAGAACAAAGTCAATAGTTGTGGAACTCCAGTAAGTAAGGCTGTCAAGGCTGTGTTATTCACTTAAACATCGGATAAAGTGATTATTTTCTCTTTAATACAGATGATGCCAATGTATTTTTCGATGAGTCTGCTATGTTAGCAATAATAACTTTACCTGCTTGTGGGAAAGGGTTGCCAGGTTTTCATAACAAAACCCGCCCAATTGCTACTCAAAACTAGCCCAAACTATCCGCGTTTCGAGGGGGTCCCCCGGTACAAATCGCGTTCTGGGGGCTAAAATACACGTTATTGGGGATGCTTCAACCCGCGGACATGAAAAACAACTCGCGGCAACAGTGATAAAGTATCCCAATTCCATGGGAAAACCGCGGACTTGGCAACACTGTGACGGATAGTAATGTCTACAATGGACACGAGCGGCGTCTCGGCGCGACCACAACAGATTTAAGTTGTCTAATTTGGCACGGTCTCCCTGCTGCACTAATAGTAGTAAGGCTTTCCTCTGTGTATACATATAACAATTACAAGTACAATTGTAGCTGTATTATTTGTGTCCCCTTCAAAAATTGCTCTTGAAAAATTTTGTTTATTGTCCCCCCTACTGTTAGACGAAATTTACACCCCTGCTTAAAGCAGTCAAATTATGACAAATCAGTGTTACAAATGAAGTGGATCTCAGGGGGGATTTTTTCTTTTTAGAAGTATATGTGACCCCTTTATTAAAGTGTGTAGTAAAAGTGTGAACGTTCATGCCAAAAGGCAGCAAGTCCCAAGTGAGGTCAGTTATCAGGCGAGAAGCGCTCATGGAACACTTCATTGAAAAGTTTCTGCTAATAATCTCTCAGCAACACACACACACACACACATTCATACAGCTGCTAAATATGAAGGTGTCTGTTAAATGACAAACAGCATAGAGAACACAAATCCTGTGACAGATTTATATGAGGAGAAGCAATGACCTGTTAATGAGATCATTGCCACTTTAATGGGCAGATATAGCACCAGCACACACTCCGCTCCGAGCACTTAGGCCCGCTGATTTAGGGGACAGAGATGAAGAAGTTAAATGGGGCCGGCAGAGAGGAACATACAGCAGAACACGATGGAGACAGTGTGCAGGGACAGGGCGCGAGAGGACGGGGAGGGTGGGCTGTAGAAACAAGGACTTTTTGGAGAAGGACAGCAGGGACGTCACATGTTCGTATGCATAAACAGGATGTGTAGGGAGTCATTCCCGTGGGGGAGCACCTCACACACCCCTCATCCACCGGCCCACTCTGACCTTTCACACAGGGACAGAAATAGACATCCTCGCTTGGGCCATTCTCCATTTAAAATATGTAAAAGCTTGATTTAGAACTGATTTCTGCATTATACACAGACCACCCATGGCCTCTGTGATCTTTATTCACATTTCATGTGAGATGAAAAAATGTTTATTGGATGTTTATGATTATGAAAGGTTGTGGTCTTCTTTTGACAAAATTTGGTCACATTTTCGTTTGGGGACCAATTCTCTCTATTAACTAACTATTAACTATGACTTTTGCCTCATTAAACTTCTAATTTGTTGCTTAGTAGTTATTAAGATAGCTGTTAAGTTTTCTTATGAGGTAGGATTAAGGGATCTAAAATATGGTCATGCAGAATAAGCCATTAGTATTTGCTTTATATTAGTGCTGTCAAACGATTAATCGCGATGAATCGCATCCAAAATAAACGTTTTTGTTTACATAATATACTGTGTATATTTATTATGCATATATATAAATACACACACATACAACATGTATTTAGAAAATATTTCCATGTATATATTTATATTCATATAATTTATATTATATATAAATATTTTAAAGCAAACAATATGGTAGTAATATGTATGCTAATAAGCAACTAGTTAGTGAATTGGTCCCTAAACTAAAGTGTTACCCAAAATTTTAAGGCAGTCCTATACAATGCATTGCGGCGAGCTCGCTGAAAAAAAAATCCACCGTGAATAGTGGATGGAACAAGACTATTTTCTGATTAAATGGACCGATTTACCCAGTATTTGTGAGTATAAGATACATTTTTGTTTAACGCTAAATTCGATTGATTTAAATGGTGAATTGATTAATTTTGAACTTTCTCAACTTAACTTTGAACTTTCATAAAAGAATTCTGGGGGGAAAAGTATTACGGTTATATTAAGCAGCAAAACCTGTTTTCAATATTGTTAATGTTAAGAAATGTTTCTTGACCAGCAAATCAGCATATTAAAATTATTTCAGAAGGATTGTGTGACTGAAGACTGGAATAATGATGCTGAAAATTCAGATTTGCCATCACATGAAAATTATCGTATATTATTATAAAGTTATTTTAAATTATAAAAACATTTTACATTACTGTTTATGTTGTATTTTGGTGAACATAAGAGACTTTTGAACGGTAGTGTATATACACTATATGGCCTAAAATATGGACACCGCCTTCTATTTACTATTTTTCATAATATTAGTGAAAAGCAACCTTAATACTATCTAATTAGAAGGACGTCTGAGTATGCTGTGCATGTGAATGTGTGTCTTTCTTGTGTCCAGCAGTACCAGGATACGAATATGCAGAGCGTGGTATATGAGCTCAACAGCTACATGGAGCAGCGGCTGGACACTGGAGGAGACAACAAACTACTGCTTTATGAGTTGTGCAACATCATCAAAACAGGTCAGAGCCTTTCTGTCTCATCCACACACACAAACACTCACATATGTTATTACCCAGCATACTGTATGTTATGCACTTCAGGTGAACGGTAGTCCAGCCATTTCTAGCACTTAATAACTTTTAAGTAATTGTTCTTATTGATATTATCAAACCTTAGTATGTGTAAAATGTTACTGTAGATATTTATCAAATGGCACGCAGTGTACAGTATTTTCATACTTGCAATTAACATAATGTTTTAGTGTATTAGGCAACTATAATAACAAGTGTTCACATTGTCGGCATAAACAGTGCATAAAAGCTGCCTGTAGAGAGTCTTACAGATGGAGGTTTAGTGAATCCAGGTTAAAAGGTCTAAGTGCAGGTGTTCCCCATCTCTCTCCTCCGCACACACGCTGATGGAGCAGTGCTCAGCCTGTCACTTCCCATCCTCCCACGCTTCATCTGCATGATTCAGTCCAGCCCCTGCATGTCTCACACACACCAACACTCCCCACTGCACACCTGACCCCAGCATGTGCGCACCACTTTCAGAAACGGACTTTTCTGTTATTAAGAAGTGATAGGATATGGATTTCGGGGACATTTTATACCTTGTTTGTTTTCAAACTATGGGTTATTATAGTTAACTAAAACCATAAAAAACTTACTTTAAATAAAATATTATTTAACTTTGAATTATTTAAATTACTTGAATAAAATATTAATTGAAAAATTTGATTGAAATAAAATAAAACATTAAAAATGATTTCCGCTAGTTGCCAAGGTAACTTTTTTTTTTCATTGTTTAACTTGATGTAATAAAGCAACTAAAATGGAAATAAAAATAAATAAAAATATGTGATCATGTTTAAAAAAATCAAAAAAACAATAGAAATGACAAAAGCACAACAAAATTACTTGCTTCATGTAACTTTAGAAAATATAAAAATAAAAATGAATTCAAAATAATAATATAAAAACTACAATAATATCCCAATGGTGCTAAAATAACACTGAAGAACACGGTATTTTGTCCATTTATGTCATACATTAATTTCATGATTTCAGAAATTATTTCATAAATTGAATCAGTTAATTAAAATAATTTCTGTAAATTTAGTGATATAGCTTAATTTGAACACAGCCTGAACAGTCAGGCTGGAACAACTGTTATAGATAATCTAGGGCATTTTTGTCACTTTTATTAGTAATTTTGCTCCAAGTCCTGGTTAATTCCTGACCCTGGTGCAAATACCACATGTATGTATATGTATATATGTATGTGTGTGTGTATAAATTAAATATATATAAATAAAAATATGTCCCAAAGGAACAAAAGAATGCAAATTAAATATATATGTAAGGAATAATTGACGACAGGCCGTTGAATTATTAGAAAAAGAATGCACACCCGAGGTGGTGATGCGGCCACGACGCGAAGCGGAGTTAAACCTCGGGTGTGCATTATTTTTCTAATAATTCAACAGCCTGGAGTCAATTATTCCGCTTAAACTACGGTTACCACACCTCAAGACATCGATCAGATGATATATTTAAAGGGATTCGTCCGGTTTTTGTACTTAAATCGCTATTGTGAGTAGGATTATTTCTTCCGCATCTCATCCAACGCCTCTTTTGCTAGTTCCAAAACGTCATTTTAAAGCTGGTAATGGAGGCTTGAGCCGTTGATAGCATTCTAATGCAGTTATTAATGAAGTTATTAGAAAGAGAGCGAGAGAGACAGAGACACACAGAGAAAGAGAAAGAGAGCGAGAGAGAGCTTGTGTGAATTAGGCTACCTCTGCGTCCCTCAACAGTGTTCTGCAGCAGCGTCTCTAAACAGAGCTGTTATTACCTCGCTAGTGAGAAATGTCATGTGTAGCCTTTAAGTTGCTACACTATATAGGCTAACTGATCAAATCGTCAGGGCAGCGCTGACAACACCTTTTTGTGCAAACTGCGTGACCGTAGTGTCCGTGTGCGAGCACGTACAATTGCAGTAATTCCTGTGTGCTGTATAGGTACTGTATGCTAATTTCCGTTATTACAGTTAACTATGCAAAGTGATATGGAACTGTAACGCGGTCAAGAGAGCTGCCTGGAACTACGTTCGCCGTGCGTTTCTCTGAAAATAATTGCACACCTCAGAACGTTCGTCAGCCAATCAGATTCAAGCATTCAATGGCCCCGTATTATAAATATATATATATTTTTGGATGTCCTTCAAAAGCAAGTAGCATTATACCTGTTAAAAACATTATCCATATGTATTAGCACTTTGCTATTTATTTTCTTCCTACAAATGCCATAAAAAGACTCAGAATCTATGGGTGCATTTTTGTGCAGTTAAATGTTTTGAGACTGTACAGTCATATTCTGAATGTTCATGTCTAACACACGGTACATTAGTCTGTGACACTTTTTATGAGTTTTATTTATTTATTTTCTTTTTTGTCACAGCCACAAAAGCTGATGGATTTGCACTTTACTTCCTTGGAGAATGCAACAATGTAAGTATTTTCTGATCTGGTTGAGTTAATACATGCTGAAAAGTGTTTAGTGGATGTTGAAGTCGTTAAATACACTCAAAAAACAGTCAAAACTTTGACACAACTGCTCTTTATTCATTATTATTGCTATTTTCCACATTTTTTAAATAATAATATAGCAACTTAAACTGCTTAAACTAAGAACAATATATGTTTTGTCAACAAAACTAATTTCTAAGCACTGAAGCATTAGAGGTCTTTAGATCATGAGAAACATAAACTCAGTAAAATGAGTGCAAGCCTTTGATTGGTCATGTACATGTTCTGTTTATCTCAAAATGGCCTGGAATTCCTATAGCATTAAAACGCTTGAGACCTCTGCTATGTTCGTTTCCTCTCTGTTATCCACTTGAGTAGTTTTACTCAGATGGCAAGTATTGTGACCAATCAGATAACACAGTTTTAAAGGACTTCTCTTTTGCCTTATCTATAATTATGTGGGAAGTATTGAATGGATACACCAATCTATGGTGTTTTCATTTGTAATAATTATTTAGTTATTTATTATTTTTGCTATTTTCATTTGATATAACTGCCAGTTTTATTGAGTACCACTTGTCCTAAGTTTAATTGTAATTATTTTAGATAGTATTATACTATTTAAGATAGTATTCAACTTTTTCAGGCAGTGTTATTCGTTAGCAATGGTAGCAACATATAATGAGAACCATAAAGTACCCTAAAATGACAAATATTATAGTTAGAGTGACCAATCGGGATGTTTTCCTTAACGTCATGCTGTTTTGTTGGTGTTGCTTTCTCTGTCACAGAGTTTATGTTTGTTCACTCCGACGGGGGCAAAAGAGGGGCTTCCTGGGCTCATCCCCTCTGGTCCCATCACATTTGGGACCACCATCGCCGCTCACGTTGCAAAGACACGCAGGACACTACTTGTAGAGGACATCATGGGGGTGAGCCGCATGCTGTTTTGCTGTGTTCACTGTTTTCAAAGATCCTCACAATAATTTCACTGTAGCTCATTATGACGCTATTTGAATGAATAATTAATCTAAGTTTGACTAAATTGATTCTTCTATTTCTACTATTTCAACAAATGCTTGAATATTGTATAGTTTATGAAATTACTAGGACTGTATGTGAAATGTGTCACTGCTCTTACTTCATGTCTACACTGGAAGTGACCAATAATGTGTCATGCCAGATCCAGTTTGTCATACATTGGGAGCAATTAAGCTTCACTTCATCTTGAATGTTCACTAACATAGACCATTTAGCTGTAAGCTAGAGGCTATACTTTAGCAATAGTTAAATGACAGTAAAATATGTTGTAAACAAATCCTTTATACTTTATTTTCAAAAGAAATCTATTAGTGCATTTGCATGGCAAAATTGTTGTTTTAGAGTATCAAAGGAATTTTTTACATATTGCTCACATTCTTACAGTGTTGTATACATATGGTTTAAAAATAAAAGATCATTTAATTTGAAGGCCAGGAACCATAATTATCACAAGCCATCTTTGAATTTACAGTCAGAAGTTATTTCAATACATAGCATATAAATTAATAGAATAAAAAAACAAATGCATATACAGTATTTGTAAATATTGTAATTATTAACACATACAAAAAAATGAAGTGGCCGCAGAAGCTCTACAGTTTGTAAAAAATAAAAATAGCATGTGTGTTATGATGTAGTTCTGGTTACTATAAGAAATAATTGGAGTTTTAATAACAAAAATTATATATATATATATATATATATTAGTGCTGTCAAAAGATTAATCGCGATTAATCGCATCCAAAATAAAAGTTTTTGTTTGCATAATATACTGTTTATTTGTGTGCTGTGTATATTTATTATGTATATAAATTAGGGCTCGGCAAGTTAATGCGTTATTATCGTGTTAACACATTAATTGATTAACACCCACAATTATTTTATCGCGCGTTAACACAGTTTTTTATTATTATGAAATAGGGCTGTGCAATTAATCGCATGTGATTAATTGCAGAGCCCTATTATAAAAGTCCGTTGCTTAATGGCTGTGAATACACACACAGACAAACCATGGGTCACAGGAGGGGTGGGATGTTGATCAGTAGACTACTGGCTTGGGATGAGCGTCATCACGTGTCTCAACCAATGAGAGCATATGGGGTGGACCTAAGACTGCAGCAGCGCTCACATGAAGTGCTCACAAATTCATAAGTGGGAAATAGTAACTTAGTAAGTTTCCGATAGTACGTGAAGACAGCCGAGAAGCACTCTCACTCAGCACAGTGGAGTGCATCGTTTTGTTAACTTTGTGGTTTATTATTTTGAGTTGTTTGGGACGCGGTAACACACGGCCCTCTCACTATATATTTCTTTACAGATCTATCACTCTTACCGCTCAGAAATGTTCACGAAATCATGCTGCACGTAGGCTATCAGATATTCCGCACTCTGGCTCGGTTCAAGGCAACCGTGCCTAGTGTGAGTACACCCTTATATTCTCCCACATCCCGCACACACGAGTCTACCCACCCACACCTGCATTCATTTGCATCTCTTAATGTTATAAGTTGAGATTTACAATGAATATTTTAACTGCTACTATGAAAAAGGAATACTGCTGTAAAAAAGCACCTTATTTGTTTAAAGTGTTTGCAAACCAAATGTTATAGCACCTTTGTTCATATTGCAGTACTTTTAAATGAAAAAAGTGCACAATACACTACTTTTGAATGCATTATTGAATTTTGTGCAACCACGCTCTGGCCCACCTCTTCCAACCGAGCCAGGGCCAGTTAAACGAACCGTGACCGAGCGCAGCACGGAGCGATCACACTAGTCAAACAAACCGGGCTTTGGGAGTCAAATGCGCTCAGGCACAATTAAGATTGCCTAGTGTGAGTACTTATTCTCCCACATCCCGCACACACGAGTCTCTACCTGCCCGCACTCGCCCATCAAGTGTTTTCCGGAACTTGGGAGGAGGCTCAGGAGGAGGACGGACACCCGGGAGGGGGCCGGCAGACAGAGACCAGGGAGGTGATGAAGGAGGGAGGAGCCAGGGAGGAGACAAGAGGGACTTGGAGCAGGCGGTGCCAGGTGGGACCCAGGCCACAACAGTAATGGCGACCCACGGGGGAGCCAACAGAGGGAGGAGCCATGGTTGAGGAAGGGCTGATGACTCCAGGGGGCCAACCGACTGTAGCGGAGCAGGTAGCGGAGGAGCCCGAGGCGGAGACAGAGAGCCGATGAGCCAGGGTGAAGTGGAGGATCCGGAGGGCCAAGGCGGAGCAGATGGCGCCGGCGACCGAGGCGGAGGCAGGGATCCAGAAGGCCGCGGTGGAGCCGGAACGACAGAGGACTGAGGAGGACCCTGACAGAGCCGGAGGGACGAGGCGCAGCCAGAGAAGTGGAGTCCCGAGGCGACGGATGGTCGACGACAGACCAAGGCAGAGCCGGAGGGACGAGGGAGCCCGGTGGGGCCACAACTTCATAAGTGGGAAATAGGAAGTTTCCGATAGCACGTGAAAACAGCAGAGAAGCGCTCTCGCTCAGCACAGTGGAGTGCATCGTTTTGTTAACTTTGTGGTTTATTATTTTGAGTCGTTTGGGATGCGGTAACACACGGCCCTCTCACAATATTTTGCTTTACAGATCTATCACTTTTGCCGCTCAGAAATGTTCAAGCAATCATGCTGCACGTATCAGAAGTTCAGCGCTCCGACACTACATGCGCACTGCGCCCGAGCCCAACTGAACCACGCTCTGGCCCACCTCTTCCAACCGAGCCAGGGCCAGTTAAACGAACCGTGACCGAGCGCAGCACGGAGCGATCACACTAGTCAAACAAACCGGGCTTTGGGAGTCAAATGCGCTCAGGCACAATTAAGATTGCCTAGTGTGAGTACTTATTCTCCCACATCCCGCACACACGAGTCTCTACCTGCCCGCACTCGCCCATCAAGTGTTTTCCGGAACTTGGGAGGAGGCTCAGGAGGAGGACGGACACCCGGGAGGGGGCCGGCAGACAGAGACCAGGGAGGTGATGAAGGAGGGAGGAGCCAGGGAGGAGACAAGAGGGACTTGGAGCAGGCGGTGCCAGGTGGGACCCAGGCCACAACAGTAATGGCGACCCACGGGGGAGCCAACAGAGGGAGGAGCCATGGTTGAGGAAGGGCTGATGACTCCAGGGGGCCAACCGACTGTAGCGGAGCAGGTAGCGGAGGAGCCCGAGGCGGAGACAGAGAGCCGATGAGCCAGGGTGAAGTGGAGGATCCGGAGGGCCAAGGCGGAGCAGATGGCGCCGGCGACCGAGGCGGAGGCAGGGATCCAGAAGGCCGCGGTGGAGCCGGAACGACAGAGGACTGAGGAGGACCCTGACAGAGCCGGAGGGACGAGGCGCAGCCAGAGAAGTGGAGTCCCGAGGCGACGGATGGTCGACGACAGACCAAGGCAGAGCCGGAGGGACGAGGGAGCCCGGTGGAGCCAGTGGACTGATGGACCATGGTAGAGAAGAGGGAACTAGGAGCCATGGTGGAGCCGACAGGTTGATGGGCCGAGGAGGAGTCCGGGGCTTAGAGGCTGGAGACAGAGGCAAGGGATTCTCCAGCCACGGTGACGATGGAGGATAGCAGACCCGCGGAGCTCGCACCATACCAATGGTGGGCTGAGGGCGAGCAGAGGGGCTGCCAGACGACAGAGGAGGAGGAGAATGCGGGCAGGCATTTGTGAGCCTCCGGGCTTTCAGGGCTTAACTCAGGAACTGGAGCCCTCTCTGGGCTGGACGTGGAAACAGGAGCCCTCTCTCCTTCGGAGTTGCACAGTCCCAGATCCGTAATTAGCTCGCCCTCGGCCACGGTGCAGGGGGCGGAGCTCCTCTCGGCGCTCTCACTGTCCGCGGCTCTCTCCCTCGCGGCAGGCGTTGTAGCCAGCTCTCGCACCTGGTCTGACGATCCGAGAGGCTCTGGCTCCGTGGCGATCCGCAGCTCTGTCGCACTCCTTGGCGATGGCTCATCGGTCAAGACGAGCTCGGGCTCTCCGTCATTAGCGGGGAGATGGTGGGCTGGGCTCTGGGTCTAGCTGTGCTCTGGATCAGGGATAGACGCTCTCCAGATACCGATTATGGCTCCAGAGGTGTCTGGGAGGTCGACAGAACGATAGTAATTTGCCCCGATCCAGAACAGTGAGTTCAGCGCAGCGTCGTCAAACGCCGTTAAAACGTCGAGCTGGCTGAACTCAACCGCATCAATAGGGAAAGGTTTTTGCGGGCGAGGGAGGTGAACTTTGCGGCAAGGGAAACCATGGGGAACACGGGGAAAAACAGAAAACAAACACTGTAAAAAACACGGAAAACAAACGAAGGGGAAAACGCAAATAAAGTTGCTTTTGAAAAGGGCGGGTCTTCTGTCACACTACACTGTGGGAAGGAACGATGGAGACGCGAAGTGGCATTAACAGTCTTTAATCATTGAAACACAGGGGATAATCCACATCAGAAACTAGAGCAAACACACGTAGACAACAAAGTAGACCCTACAGAGACAGAATGCACAGACCAGGACTAAAATACATGACATAAGGTAATTAGGAGGAACACAGGTGACCAGAATAACTACTCAGAACGAAAACGAGAACAGGAACACACGAGAGAAAACTAGGTCATGGAGCACGTGGGGAGGAAAACAAACACAAAACAGTCCATGGGTGTGACAATATGCATGTAAATATTTTCTAAATATATACTGTATGTGTGTGTATTTATATATGCATAATAAATATACACAGTACACATACATATATCATGTAAACAAAAACTTTTATTTTGTATATTTTATTTTTATTTTTATATATATATATAATATAATTAGCTCGCCCTCGGCCACGGTGCAGGGGGCGGAGCTCCTCTCGGCGCTCTCACTGTCCGCGGCTCTCTCCCTCGCGGCAGGCGTTGTAGCCAGCTCTCGCACCTGGTCTGACGATCCGAGAGGCTCTGGCTCCGTGGCGATCCGCAGCTCTGTCGCACTCCTTGGCGATGGCTCATCGGTCAAGACGAGCTCGGGCTCTCCGTCATTAGCGGGGAGATGGTGGGCTGGGCTCTGGGTCTAGCTGTGCTCTGGATCAGGGATAGACGCTCTCCAGATACCGATTATGGCTCCAGAGGTGTCTGGGAGGTCGACAGAACGATAGTAATTTGCCCCGATCCAGAACAGTGAGTTCAGCGCAGCGTCGTCAAACGCCGTTAAAACGTCGAGCTGGCTGAACTCAACCGCATCAATAGGGAAAGGTTTTTGCGGGCGAGGGAGGTGAACTTTGCGGCAAGGGAAACCATGGGGAACACGGGGAAAAACAGAAAACAAACACTGTAAAAAACACGGAAAACAAACGAAGGGGAAAACGCAAATAAAGTTGCTTTTGAAAAGGGCGGGTCTTCTGTCACACTACACTGTGGGAAGGAACGATGGAGACGCGAAGTGGCATTAACAGTCTTTAATCATTGAAACACAGGGGATAATCCACATCAGAAACTAGAGCAAACACACGTAGACAACAAAGTAGACCCTACAGAGACAGAATGCACAGACCAGGACTAAAATACATGACATAAGGTAATTAGGAGGAACACAGGTGACCAGAATAACTACTCAGAACGAAAACGAGAACAGGAACACACGAGAGAAAACTAGGTCATGGAGCACGTGGGGAGGAAAACAAACACAAAACAGTCCATGGGTGTGACAATATGCATGTAAATATTTTCTAAATATATACTGTATGTGTGTGTATTTATATATGCATAATAAATATACACAGTACACATACATATATCATGTAAACAAAAACTTTTATTTTGTATATTTTATTTTTATTTTTATATATATATATAATATTTATTAAGACTTTGGTCACACTTTATTTTAAGGTCCAATTCTTGCTATTAACAAACCATTAACTATGACTTTTGCCTCAATAATCTCCTAATTTGCTTCTTATTAATAGCTAGTAAGGTAGTTGTTAAGTTTAGGTATTAGGGATGTAGATTATGGTCATGCAGAATATATACATTATAAGTACTAATAAACAGCCAATATGTTAATAATAGGCATGATAATAAGCACTTAGTTAATAGTGAGAACTGGTCCCTGTACTAAGGTGTTTTCAAGACTTTTAGGACTGATTAGGACTTTTAAAGAACAGCACATCCATATATATATAAACTCCTCCCATCAGACTGGCCTGTTTTTTCCTGCAGGACGAGAGGTTCCCTCATGGCACAGGGCAGGACTCAGGGATTCGTGTACATTCTGTTTTGTGTCTACCCATCCTCACCGCCATCGGAGACCTCATCGCTATCCTGGAGCTGCACCGGCACTTGGGCAGAGAGCCCTTCAACCTCAGCCACCAGGAGGTACTCTAAGGGAGAAAGTGCTGGTATTTGATACCAGTATCTGGTATCTACCCATGTGCCTCTGCTCTCGATTTATGTAGCCAGGCAGCGCTTAGTCTTCAGGACTAGTAAAGAAATAATCTAGGTTGTTTTGAATGTAATTTCTATGGACAACATCTGTGGGATGCCTCAATTACCACATTTAATATTTTGACAGATGTGAAGTTCTCATGGAGCTATACACTTACTTACAACTTGTTATTATTATAATTTTTTATTTCACGATAGTATGAATGAAAAATGGACTGATACTGAGTCTGATTTTAGACTACATCCAATCAGATAAACCCACCTCGTAACTGCCCATAAAAACAAAACAAACTGTAATTGGTCAGGCAAGTGTGGTCACATTTACTGTAGTTAAATCAATTTTGGGTCAAAGTCTAGTCAATTCAATAGGAATTTATGCAATCTGGAATTTCACGTGAGGGGTAAATGATTTTCCCACGCAGCAGGTTTTTTGCGGATTCGCCACGTTGACCAACAGAAATCTGCTTGTTTTGAAAGTGACTTCTGTATAAGCTGTGCTTCATGCATCGCTACACTATTAACAATAGACAATGACCCTTTTTTGCCCATGAAATTCCACCAAATTTTCGCTAATGTGACCACACCTTAAATAGCTGGTCCTTTCTTGATCAGTACAAGTTGTAGTATGGTACAGACCTTATGCTATCTAGCATTTCACAGTACATTATAAGAGCAAAGTAGATTATAAACAATGTTGGGGAGTAACTAGCTACATGTAACGCCATTCCATAATTTAATTACAAAATACAAAATAAATGTAACTGTAATCAATTACAGTTGCTGAGAAAAAAGTGTAATTAAATTACAGTTACTTATGAAAATGTTAGTCATTACAAAGGTGTTACATCTGAATATTTTCAGTAAAAAGCTAGGATATGTTGAATATTATTTTGTTGCTTTGCCTGTTTTTGGTCTGCACAGTGCCTTCTGCCATTTAAAGGCTGTTTAGTAAAGCAATGCTATTCTGATGCTTTTGATTGGTTCTTGTTTGAATTTGCAGTGCACCATGTCAAAACCACCAATTATATCAATCCACATTGCTGCTAAAAGCTTTAGGCTGTCTGAGAGTTGCCACCATGGCGAGTGATAAAAATGTGTTGCAGTGCTGTGCTTCAAAATTAAATGTTTGAAATGATTAACAGTTAAAAAACATTTGTTAGTCATTTAGAAAAGTAATCAAAATTAGTTACATTAATAAAGTAATTGAAATAGTTACACTACTTGTAACTAGTAATCTGTAACCTATTACATTTCTAAAGTAACATTCCCAACACTGATTATAAAGGGTTACCCATTTCTGCTGTAAAATGTAGAAAATAGTAATAACAAAGAATATGTACTTGTATTTAAACTTTGGCTAACAAGATATTCAGCTGTCAGGTGAGGTACACAGGACTATAAAGTTCTGCTTGTTCGTTGAGTGCTCAAGGTTCACATAGTGTGTCTTTGACTAAGTGTACCCTGTTTTTTAGGTTGCAACAGCAAATTTGGCCTGGGCATCTGTAGCCATACACCAAGTCCAGGTGAGTACATTTAAGAAAAACAATGCGTTGCTTGTTGGATTTGGTTGAACACACGTGTTTTGATTTCTGTAATCCACTGTGTACATGGACCAGGCTGCTGGTGGGCCCAGTGTAAGCAACCAGACCACACATTAAACACACCTTCGTCTCAGGAGGTGCAATTAATGACAATGCAGTCTTGTTTGTACGTAAACTGTTGTATGCTGTGAATGACACCACTCTGGGTTATAATGTCCCTGTGCATCACGGGGCTCTTTGGGAGTAAATTTCACTCTGGGACACAAACCTTCTCAGAAGTTAGGAGTCATCAGAACATGGTTGTGATGAGAAGACAAGGAGGACCATAAGTAACATATTTTAGGGCTCTAAGGCAAGACACTAGAGGCAAAAACACTGTTTTTCATGCATCTGTCAATTTTGACATTTTGGGCTTTTTCACACAGTAATTTTTCAGGCTACTGGAAAGAAAACATCCAAAACACACTTTTAAGTGTTTCTTTTATTGCACTTTATCTATTTGTGTAGATTTTGATTACATATCTTTAAAAGGCCATTTTCTCATATCTTTAAAAGGCCTTTTTTAACCCTGCACTGAGCCACTAATTTCCACTACAGCCACAATTACTTACACCAAACTATACAGTTTTATTTCCATCTATATTATGAAGGGTTTTACTGAGGGGTTTGTTCGTATACTGTATATTTTGCCTGATTTTATACATTTAATTCATTAAAAAAAAGATGCATATTAATTTTTTTTCTAGCAGTTGATAGTACTTTCTGATTTATGGAATGAAAAAAAATGCTAATAATGTTTACCGTATAAAACCTTTGATTCTAATATGTCAAGAAAAATCAAACAAGAATTTTGAACCGGGCTTCATACAATGTTCAGATTTTTGTTATAGAAAGGTATGCAAATTAGTGCATGTTTAAATAAATAATGATTTATTTGCATATTTAAACAACATTTCAGAAAACTTTACATTAAGCAATTCTTAATGTAATCAATCAACTGGCGAAATATGGTGATATTTATTTATTTATTTACATGGGGTGTCTTGCCTTAAGGAATTGATCATTCAAAAATGAAATTTAATAAATCTAGTAATTAATGTCAGAATTATCATTTTTAGTTGAACTATTTCTTTAGGAATAGTTCATTCAAAAATGCCAGTTCCCTTTCAGTCGGTCACTACATGTCACGACGTGATGTCTCCGTTCCCTCCTTCAGGGAACGAGGGTTACATACGTAACTGAGACGTTCTCCTGTCTTAACCTTCATGCTGCTAGATGTTATCTAGTGAAATGTCCAAGCAGTTTTTGTTCCATACAACATAAAACGAGAAGATGGAGAGTGAAGCATTCAAACTTCAGAAACAGAAAAGCACTGTAAAAGTACTCCATATGACTTATGCACCATGTTTTCTGAATCTATACAATAACTTTGTCAGCTTTTTACAAAAAAAAACAAAAAACTAATTGATGGCTTGTGATCAGCATAATCAGTTAAACATAGAATTCACATAGAGAGTAATTTCTTGCGGGTCCACTTGCGGGGATTGCCATCTTAAAGCTTCCTGTTCATGTTTTGCTCACAGGTCTGCAGAGGTCTTGCCAAACAGACAGAACTCAACGACTTTCTCCTAGATGTGTCAAAGTAAGTGAGTTCATGCATAAAAGTATATTTTGTGGGAATTTCATGAAATGTGTCAAACACTTGCCAAAAATCATAAGGTTTTTTAAAATTATTTTTATGAAAGTTAAGCTTTTTTTTTCACATTACATGAATGGAGTATAAATATGCTTAATAATCATGAAAAGAATGTCACAATGCAAAAATACCTAAATTTTTCTTTTTAATTGTTAGGTAAAAATGTGCACTGAATATGTTTTATTGAGAATTCCCTATATGACGAAGACTCCATAATATTGAAACGTTTCAATGTTTATTGACATTTAACATTATAATAAATAGCCAATGATATGTATGAAGAATATATATATGCATTCATGTTATACTGTGTTTGTATCATATGGATATCCCTGTAAAATGACAGGTCTTTCCCTCCTTTTCGATTTCAAACAGAACGTACTTTGACAACATAGTGGCAATAGATTCTCTACTTGAACATATCATGGTGAGTAGGTTTTCCTTCTCTCAGTAAGGTCACATGCTTGGTCATGAGGACAAACATGCTGTTGTTCTGTCGCTCATCTGTGTCACCATCAACGCCAGAGAAATGTGTGCAATGAAAGACCTTCTCTCATTTGTTTGCCATGTTCTTGTGCTCACCCCACCAGCCTTGGGCTTGTTGTTAAATATCCTTTTTCTCATTTATGTACATGTTTGCATTCTCTAGATCTCACTCACACAAGCACAAATATTCATACGCTCTAAGTATCAGATCTCTGGCCCCCTCGTGTCTCTGTCCCTTCCTTCCTGTTGAGCAAAGCAGCACAGGAAGTGATGCAAATAGGTCAGGGAGAGGACAGAAAGTCCATCTGACACCGCTCCAGCATCTCTCTGAGCTCTTGGTGTCCCTCTCAGGGATTCATTCAGACTTTTCCAAGCACATACTTCCAAAAATTGGAGGTAATATTTAAGTACTTAAATGAATAATATGTCTTTCTTAGTTTGAAGAGATTTTTTGCTCATCAGCAGTTTCATAAAGCGGAAGTTTACCTTAGAGGGGAAAAGACACAATGTGCCACCAAGTTGTGAAATCCAGAGGGAAGGAGAAGTTCCTCAGTTGCTAGTCTCACATAGACACATGTAGTGGTCGACCGTTAGTGGCCTATTGATATACATAACAAAACTAATTCTGGTTATTGATGCAGATGAACTCACTGCAGGTGAAGCACACTTGCATAGTAATCTTTTAAAAATGATTTCCTCAACAAACATGTTGCATTCCGTCTTGGGGAAATGTCATTAAGGAAATGCTTGTTTATTTGTGTTTCAGATATATGCAAAAAACCTGGTTAATGCAGACAGATGTGCGCTCTTCCAGGTAGATCACAATAACAAAGAGCTGTACTCTGACCTGTTTGATATCGGGGAGGAGAATGAAGGGAAACCTGTCTTTAGGAAAACCAAAGAAATTAGGTGAGCATGATCCTCACTATTTGAGTCATATTTGAGTCTTTACATCCTTGTAAACTACCAGCTGAATTTATTTATTTATTTGTTTGTTTTATTTTCTTGCATAGAAAAAATTTAAGTTACACAAAGTCACAAAATTCCCAATTGAATCTCGGAGTACAGTAAATGTAGTACAGCAGGTTGTACAACACACTCTCTTTATCAGACGTAGTTTACTGCTTCACCAAATCTATATGGAAACCTTGCAAAGCCTGTCAAGAACATGTCTTACTCATATTTCAGCTCAAAATCAAAAGTAAGATAAATACATTATATTTTCCATAAAGAAAATGATACCTATTTTAGGACCATTACAATCTTTGCACTGTATTGCGATTTTCAAGACAATTAAGCACTCCCCCCTTTAACTGTAAAACCATTTTATTTATTATTTATTTATTTATTATAATTGTATATTTATACATCATGGTAGTATTATTTTATGCTAGCTCACAGCAGCATGTTGTGGATGTATTGGTAGTAGCAAATCTCGGTACTTGCTCTGCCGCAGCAGCAGCAGCGTAGCAGATCTATTCCACCAAGACCAAATACATTAACATTGTCATGTACATTACCATGCCAATCCCTCCGAGAGTTGTCATGACAGAAATATATTTATTTACTGTAATAGAAGAAACATGAGAATGAAGAGTTAAAAAACCCTCAAAAGTGAAATATGAGGACAGCATTTTTATTCATTTATTTATGTACATTTATTTGTGTCTGTGTCTGTGTCTGTGTGTGTGTGTGTGTCTGTGTCTGTGTCTGTGTCTGTCTGTGTGTGTGTGTGTGTGTGTGTGTGTGTGTGTGTGTGTGTGTCAATTTGGGGCAAAATGTGCTCAGTGGTGATACGGTGCAAAAAAAAAAAAAAGTTAAATGTGACCCAGACATATTTTCACCCCGGAATATCTGATTTTAATCATATTTCATACATTGGTAACTGATCTTAAACACTCACCCCCAGGTTTTCTATAGAGAAAGGAATAGCAGGTCAGGTGGCGAGAACAGGAGAAGTTTTGAATATTCCGGATGCCTATGCAGACCCCCGTTTCAACAGGTAATAAAGATTTAGATTTTCCATGCAAAAACACCTGAGATTACTTTAAGCAACTTTGTTAAAGGGGTCATATGATGTTGCTAAAAAGAACATCATTTTGTGTATTTGGTGTAATGAAATGTGTTTATGCGGTTTACGCTTCGTCCACGGTGAAAGCCGATCCGGCGATCCACAGCGCGATGTTGATGTATTCCCTCAGCGACCAGCACGGATCCGCTCCAGGCATGACGAAGCGAATATCGTCCTCTTTTGGAAGACCAAACAAAGTAGTTTCGCTTTCACAATGAAACACACAGCGCCTTCACGACATGGCGGCGGCAACAACAATACTACAGCGAGAATAAAAGTTACGCCTTCTTTCTTTGCGTGAACATTTGTGCGGCATTATGCAAATCTTCCCACATCGTGACGTAGACATGTGGGGGCGTGTTAGAACGAGCCAGGCTTGATAGGTAGGCGTGGTTGACTCTTAAGTTTTATAAAGAATATCTCTTTGGATTTGAGACTTTAGTCTTTGCAACTTTACAGATCTTATTTATACGCCAACAGCTTGTAACACTCCAAAGAGAAAGGAAAAATTGAAATCGCATCATGTGACCCCTTTAAGAACCAGGTTACACATTAAGCAGTTAAGGCTGGATGAATGACTGAACATACAGTAATACACAATTTTGAACTGTGACATGTGGAGCACTTAGACAACTGTTAGAACTGTAAAGTTACAGTGTTATGGCACAAACCATATTTTAATCCAAAATTAAAAGACAAAGAAAAAAGTAACAAACAGAAATAAATGGAAATTTATTTAAAAAAAATACATATTCTTATACCATGATTCAAAAAATGTCATTCTCTTTACACTAATGTTAAAGTAATAATATATTATTTTAAAATATGTATGCATCATGGTATTGTTTGTTGATTTATATGAAAAAAATGAGAAGAGCGAGAGAGAGAGAAAAGAAAAAACGTTTGGTGAGATTGACCAAGCAGATGCATGAAATGGGTGTATTGTTGAGTTGGACATGTGGACACAGTGGTCTGTTGGTGTTAAAATGGACATGTCAGATAAAAGGGGCTTCTGGATTTGTTTACAGTAAATCTGCAATAAGATGATTATTTTAAGCCTAGATGAGCCAACACTTGAAACCGTTGTGTGTTTAACTCAATCATATACAAACACTATGGTTGTTCATCTCTGTGTATGTGTATGTGTGTGTGTGTGTGTGCGCGCGCGCGCGCATTTCTCTGTTGTCTGTTCCGCTTTTTACAGAGAAGTAGATCTCTACACTGGCTA